CCAGCAGCGGAGCGTGCTCACTTAACCACTACACCATGGGGCCGGCTCTTTACACCTTTTTTTTTCAATAAGAAGAATATTAAAAGAATATTTCAAAACCAATCTGATACTCCAAAATGTTAAAATGACTCTGGGTGGTACTATTAAGGGGAATTTTAAAAGTTCTTAATAATTTATTTGCTTATTTTTCTCTGTTGCATATTTAACATTTATAATTAATTAAAAGCAATATAGCAAATATTCACTCTCTTCCCTCTCTCACTTTGCGCAGATATACTTCCTTCCCCATTGATCCTGGGCATGGCCATGTGACTTGCTTTGGCTGATGGGTTGGATGGTGGACATGATGCAGCAAACGTGTTTGTGTTGAAGCCTTGCCTTCTTACACTTCCGCCATAACCATGAAAAGAACATGCTCTGGATAGATTGCCCAACCAAGAAAAATGAGAGACACATGGAGCAGACCTGGACCCAACCTTCAGCTTGGAGCCAAGACCAACAAAGCCCAGCCTAGAACAGCTGACCGCAGACAACCCACAGATGTGTGAGGGAGACAAAATGATGACTGTTTTAAGTCACTGAGATTTGAGGTGGTTTTACATCATTATTTTGACAATAACTTGGTGATAAATCTTCATTTTCAATGTCAGTTTTCTAAGCAAAATATCTCTTTTATATTCTTCTTGTCCCATCTTCCATTCTTATCAAATGGTATCCCACAGAAGTGGCCCAGGCTCGGAGTGACTGGGCTAATTTTTAGCTTGGAGAGGAATGTTAACCCGAAGAGATGTTTTAAGAACCCTAGAACATGAAAGGCTTGAAATAGATGATAAAATGACCCTGAAACTGTAGTATCGTCCCTACCATCAATAGCAATTAACATATTAAGACTCATGAATCCCAATTACCATTATGCCTGAGTTGGGTTCCTCATCAGCCCTACATTATTGCCATTCTCCTCATCATTTCTCAAAACTACTTATTTACTGCCAAAAAGTGACAGGGAGTGGGGTGGGAAGTAACCCAAACCCAACCAACAAATACTGATCTGCAGTATTTCAATCAGTATGTTGTTGCAAATAGCAGATAAAAAATGTTGCAATCCAAATTCCAATCGTCAGGACTGCAGGCTAGGGCTGGCTGCAGGGCTTTCAGTAGTGATTTCTTTAAAGGGTCTTCTCAGTGGGTCCTTCTCCTCTTCTGCAGAGACTTAGCACACTGCAGAGTGAGCTGGTGACTCCGGTGAGAGTTCATGAGAGGCTGTCCTCTCCAGGAGAACCCTAAAGTGGGAGGCACCCCTCACCCCAGCCTCCAGAGGTCCAGGAGTGTGATGGGAAGGACAAGCACGAGGACATCAACTGGCCTGGTTAGCTGCCACCACTGCCCTGCTGACTAATTTTATCTGGTTTGAATCCAGCATACAGTTCCAAAGCATTTTCACAGCCCTCAGCTTATCGAAGCCGATGGTCTTGCTTGAGATTCTTCCTATCATCATTTGCAGGGTTTCTGTTTAGGTGGCTTGTTCAAGATGACACTGACAGGAAGTGATTCTACCCTCTGTTAGCTGTGTGACCTTAGGCAGTCTACTCAACCTCTCTGAGTACCTGTGTGTAAAGTGGGGCTATGTTGTAATAACACCTACCTCAGAGGGCTTTTATAAATAATAAGTGAAGCAATGTTTTGGTTTTCTTTGGCTGGTTTCCTTAGCTATTTGCTTAAAACAAAACAAAACAATCTCCAAAATCTTGTATTACAATATTCGGTACATATATAATACAAATTCATTGAAGAAAAATTAGGAAAAAATTTACCTAGAATTCCACAATCCAAAGATACCAGTGTTAACATAACTGATCTACAACTTTCCAACTATTTTCTTTGTTTGCAAACACAGATACACTTATATATTCACAAAAACTAGTTGATACATACTATTTTGTAACATGCTTTTGCCCCCTAAAAAATTATTATAAACATATTTTCTTTCTAAAAAATGAGTCTATAATATGTGTATTAATGGTTGCGTAATATTTCATTTTATGGATGTAATATACTTTTACATATCTAATCCCCTGTTTTTTGATTTTTAATTTCTTTTCTCATTTTTGCTCTTATAAATAACTCTTTGATGAATACTTATGTATGTAGATGCTTGAGCAAATGACTGATCAGTTTTAAAGGTGAATTTCCAGATGTAAAATTAACGGCGAAAATCACAAACATTTTCATGTCACTTTATACATATTGTCAAATTGCCTTTCAGAGAAATTCTGGCAACTTAAACTCTCATTGGTGGTGAATGAACATGTCCATTTCACCATATTCTTGCTAAAACTAGGCCTTTATCACTTTGTCTATTTGACAGATGATAAATGATATTGCATTGTTGTTTTGTTTTTTTGATTACTACTGAAGATGAAACTGTTTTTATATTTGTTGGTCAGGTTCTTGATCATTAAAAAATTAAATTTTTTTTGGGCCAGCCTCGTGGCCTAGTGGTTAAGTTCAGTGCACTGCACTGCAGCAGCCTGGGTTCGGTTCCCGGGCATGGACCTACACCACATGTTGGTGGCCATGCTGTGGTAGCGACCCACATACAAAACAGAGGAAGACTGGCACAGATGTTAGCTCAGGGCCAATCTTCATCAGCCAAAAAAAAATTTTTTTTAATTGATATGTAAGAACTCTTTGTTATTAGAGGATTTAAATCTTGCCTTATATATTATAAATATTGTTCTAGTTGTTCATTTGTCTTTTAATTTTATGAATTTTTTGACATTACATACACTTGAAAATTTTATGTAATTAAATCTAGTAATAATTTTTTTTGCCTTCCTCTTACAATATCATGCTCAGAGAGACTGGAATAATTCTTAAAATAATTTTTTTTCCAGAAGGCATATGTATATTATGTTTTCTGAATCTTTGAATGACTGAGAATAAGTTTCTGTGACCCTCACGTAAGAATGATGTCTTGGCAGTTAGAGCATTTTTGACACACAATCCTCAAAACACGGTAGAGGCCATTCCACTATTTTCTGAAATTTAGTATTGAGAGATGTCTGATGCCAAAAAGACTTTTCCTCCTAGTATGTACTCTGTTGGGCAAAAGGATTGCAAAATTTTTCTTTATATTTGGAATAAAAAGAAAAAGCAAGACATGTTGAAGAGAGAGTCTACAGTCATGTGCTGCATAACAACATTTTGGTCAATGACAGACCTCATATACAACAGGGCTCCTGTAAGATTAGTACTATATAGCCTAGGCATGTAGTAGGCTATACCATCTAGGTTTGTGTAAGTACACTCTATGATGTTTGCTCAACAATGAAATCTCCTAAAGACACATTTCTGAGAATATATCCCTGTCATTAAGTGATGCATGACTGTATTTTATACTTTGGCCTAATGCTCACTGGGGGTTTTGGATTGAAGGCAAGGATTTCCTCAACTCAAGAAAATTATCTTTTACGATATATTTGGTCATCACGTCCTCTCTGTCTAACGTATTTTCTTCTGGGTTTCCTATCCAATCTTGAAGGACCTACCCTGCATGCCTCTCCTCTGATTTCCAGAATTTCCCCAGCTGCCCGACTGGTTTGCTCATCCTGTTTTTTGCATTGTCCAACTTGCTAGTCAGTATTGCCATTGTATTTTTACATCAGGTAATTATTGTTGTTTCACCTAAAAGTAGTCTTCCCAGATCTCAGATTGTTCCTTTTTCACAGGTGCAATCTCCTCTCAATTATTGTTAACTTTATATTTTACACAATGTCACTCTCTCTCCTACGGCAAGTTTTTTTCAAAAGAGCACTCTTTTGAGGTCCTGAGCCTTGTTTATATGTCCAGATGTTTCCCTACTTGCTCATCCTTACAAAGGAGGTCTTTGTCTGACCAGTTTTGCGGCTTGGGAAAGGTTGCATCAGAGTGTTTAGGTTCATGTCTGATTTCTTTAGTCTGAGAAGAAGAGGTCAGGGAAGAATTTATAATTTCTGTAGTCTAATTCCTCAGGATCAGAGTTTCACTTTTCTCGGAGGGGGAAGAGGGAAGCACACCCAGAGGTGGCCCTACGACAAGGGCTTCCCCATGTGCCAAGGTTTCCTTTCTGCCGGGCAGGGGGACCACCCCCTTCTTTAACGGACAGGATGGCTCATGCCTTGAGCCTGCTGCGACAATGCCCTCACATTTCTTATTGCATTGTTTGAAATGAACTGAACTGAAATGGCTGTGGGTGTGCCTTTTATGGTAGATTTTGCTGAGGAGGGAAATTTGCACCTGTTTGGCGTTGGCATCACATTTAGAGAGAGCAAGGGGGAAACAAACACAAAGGCCAGCATATCCGGGATGATTACTGTCAAAATTACTTACCAAAGACATCTGCGAAGCTGTGATCCACTCGGGAGGGATGTGAAAATGAGCCCCAGCTGAGTCTCCCAGCAAAATGATTCCCCTGGGCTGTGAACCTAGGTGGCACAATTTATTTGCATTATTTATGCACTCAAGTAGTTTGGAGTCTCCAGATTGGGTAGTTAGGAGAGCAGATACACCAGGGTATCTGCTCTGTGCACAGAGCATCGTAACAGTGATGCATTGCCACTTTTTGCGTGTTGGAGAGTGAGGGGCATAGCGTTTAGGAGCTGAATGAGATTTCTAGGCCACTGGAACTGCTAGCTAAGCTATACGGATGCAGGTGTGTTTCCTAGCTCAGCATAAAACATACTGTCGTGCAACATCGTGAGAGAATGACAGATGAATAAATGAATCAAAACGTTATCCAAACTCAGAAATATGCCCTAAATTTTGGTTCTGGAAATTGCTTTCTTGGAAAACATACCAATTTCTGTTATAATTTGCTTTGAAGATTAGCGATCTCATGGAGCGATTTTGATTTTTTGAGGACGTTATTGTCTTTTAAAGCCCTTAATCCATATAGGCAAAAGCAGTGGATGGACGATTCTGGCTGGTTAATGGGGACAAGGAGATATACAGGTCTCCGTGCATCCCTGTATGTTTGGAGGTTAAGAATCGCTTAATCTGATTCTGAGGCCCATCTACACAAGTATTTAGCCATGGGTGATGCATATACTCTTCCAAATCCCTAAAGATCCTGGAAGAATCAACTGATGCCTCCCAGAGTCAGAGATGGGAGCCTCCTTCCCGCACCTCCAAACCCCAAAATCATGCTGGAGGATGGCCCAGCCTCACTCCAGTGGCTCCTTATCTTGGGCTTCGGTGACAGCTAGCACTGGGCCACACAAATAGGGACTGAGAAGGCCCGGGACATCCAGGAGGGGTTGTGACGTGAGGAAACCAAGAGGCTTCCCACAGTGGCCTCAGTGCCTCACACTGGTATTTCACTTAGATCTCAGTTTATTTATTCATTAGTTTATTTGTTCATTCATTCTTTTATTCATCCAACAAGCCTTTGTAAATTGCATAACTATGCACTGGGTCTTTGCGTTTTTTGCTCACTTCCCGCCCCCCTGAGGGCTTAAAGACAGTTAGACTTGAGGTTGATTGAGGGCAATCATGTCTGCCCATGAAAACTCAAAGCTAAGTATAGCCCTTGGTGCATAATAGGAATAGGCATTCAGGAAATATCTGGTGAATGAATGAATGAATGAAATGCTTCTAAATGTTAGGGAAAAGCACTGCCTAAATATAAAACAGTGATGCTACCATAGGGTCTTGTCTGAGAGTCTTTGGGCACCACCAGGAGCATGTTTTCAGTAATATGTGGGTGGTAAGAGGTTTCTCCTAACAGTACTGGTAGCCCAGATGTCTGTGGCATTTGGGCATTTAGAATACAGAGCTTTTGTTCAGCTGTTTTTGGGAACTCTCAATGGCTATAGGTTGGAGGTCTCCCTCAAGTCACCCACGTATAAGTCTTTAGCCCATCTGACACAGGGACTCTGTCAGTACAAGCCCAGATGCCTGACCTTGTAGTGTATTGAGAAGGATATGAAGAAGATTGAAAATGGTCACCTCTACTTGTTTTCTTATTTGGAGAAGTGCTGGGTTTCAGTTACCATTATCCATCTCCCAGTCTTTTCTAACAATATCAGTGAAGTTTCCAATCCCCAAATAAAGGAGTCCATTAAACAAACTCAGTTTTGCTTTTTCTAGATTCTGCCTCTTTTTTCTATAATCTTTTTCATGTCTTTTTCCGATTTTTCATGAAAATAAATGCAAATTGGTCAACTTTAAGTTGTAGCATCAGGCACTTCCTCACTTGGGTGGTCTGTTCCCTTCAATTTGACTCAGACTAGAAAAAAATATTCTATTGTAATAAGCACATTGATTTTTACAATTCATACCTTCACAGAATTTCTTCTCATATGGAATTCCATCTTTTGGATCCACACCCTTTAAAAGAGAAATGATAAGATGAGCAGTTTGTTATTAAATTTATGAGACACATACACTAAATCCTTCCCAAATGGCTTTAAAAGTACAAAGGCAAATCAGTAGATAAAACCGTCTAAAGACTTTTGAGCTCTTAATCCAACATAGCAACATTCTGTATAAGTGAGTTGGGCTTTAAGGGATTGCGAGCAGAAATAAGGAGAGATCCAGAAACTGGACCATGTCCTTCAGAAGGAGGCAGAGCAGGAGTGCTGGGAGTGTCACTCTGAGGGAGCATTGAGGGCCCATTGAGTGACTGGGTACAAGGTCAGCATGGGTTCAGCAGTCTCTGAGCTGGAGCTCTAAGTGTCCTGACATCTCCAGTGCCTAAGGACTGATGCTTCTAGAGCAGCGACTCTCAACGGGGCTTATTTTGCCCCCAACCCCACCCCAAGGGACATTTGGCAATGTCTGGAGACATTTTTGGTTGTTACAACACGGGGAGGGGGAGCTACTTGTATCTAGTGGGTAGAGGCCAGGGATGCTGTTGAACATGCTACAATTTACAAGACAGCCCAACAATAAAGAATTATCCCACCCAAACGTCGATACGCTGAGACTGAGAATCCTGGAAGTGAGGTTGGGCCTGTGAGTGGGACTGACTCACCACAGCTGAGGGGACTTTCTAACACTTAAAGCTAAAGCTGCCCATTAGTGTAGTGACCGGTCCTTGGAAGGTTCAAGCAGAGTCTGGATAACTTTAAGGGAAAGCGTTAAAAAAATATATACATATATATACACGTGTTCACTCTCTTGGTCTTGGGGGCTCCTGATGCACATTAAAACATTAAAGATGCTGAGAGATCCAGAAGTAAAGAAAACTGTTCAGGTTTATTTGACTCAGTACTCCCTAAACTTGACTATAGAACCCCTCCTCCCATATCTATTAATCTCACACTCAACATTGGGGTTCTGTGGACCCACTTTGGGGAACATTGGACTTGATGGTTGTAAAGTCCCCCCCAATTTTATGATTTTGTGATTCTGTGAGTCATTTTTCCTCTGTGGAAGGGGGTAGGTATGAAGGTGATGTGTCTTTCTGTCATTACTGATGATGCACTGGGTCTTGACTCCCTGAGCTCCTGGTGGATTTCCATTGGTCTAGCACAGTCTCTTCTTGGCCTTCCTTATGTGTGGTGGCACACTATGTCAGAGGCAGGGATGGGGCCATGGAACAGACAGCAGCCTTACACATTGATCAACCCCCTTTTTCCTCCAACATGACAACAAAGCCTGAGTTTATCAGAACAAGACCTGCCTCGGGGGTCTTGACACCTTAAGATCTAGGGGAGATGTCCTCTCCTCCTCATGAAAGGGCAGCGTGACTGATGATAAACTGGATGAGGTGGATTGAGGTACAATTTGTCCTGCTCTCCCTATCCAAGAAGGCATGGGCCATCAATGTCCTGGAGAGAGGGAAATATTTACAGAAGCTTTCTCCTTTTCATCCAAGCAGATAAATGAGGCAATTATTAAGAGGCAATTTATCTTGAAGCTGAAGATCCTAAACTTCAGGGCTCCTCGTTTGCATAGCCCCTGCCTGTGTGAGTGCTGGGAGAGGCTGGGAGCTATAGAGTGTTCTAGGTGGAGAGGAGAAGCCAGGCTGCACATGGGACATGTTTCCATGTAAGCGCTCCTGGTAAGGCAGAAAAGAGACCTCAAAAGAAAGGGACCTGAATTTCTAAGACTCCAGTAATTTGTTAGGGTTTCTTTTATTGTTCTAATTAATTATTTACTTTATTACTTGATTCTGTATTTGTAATTTGGTATTCTTTTTCTTCATGAGGACCCTTCAAATAGTATAGCTCAAGACCCCACAAAACTTGGTTTTGCTGCCATTGCTGTCTTCAGACAAGCATTTGGTTAGCTTTTCTCCTTCCTTACATTTTCTCTACCTGGAAGCTGCAAATCCATTATTCAAAGGGAACTGGGGCACCAGCATTAGATGCCTCGAGACGTAGCTAGTGGGGTAACTTCAGGGTAATTTCCACTCTGCCTAACTAGTCTTACGAAATAGAAAAAAATGGCTGCAATGAAATGGTGACAGCACGTGGCTGGCTCCAACAGCTGTTTGGGTTGCTTTAAAACTTTGCTAACACCACTCTGTTTAATTTCACACTGTTCAATTATATGTGGGTGACCTTAAGCAAGGCTTAAAGGAGCTGTGACAGAGACAGCCTCAACTCTCACTATGTCTTTGACACTCTTCATGTGTGATCAGAATTCCATACCCCTCTTCTAAACAGTAGAAAAAGAGTTGCTTTGGTCTGCCATCTTCTTCCTTCGGTCTGACTAAAGCAAATAGGCAGCGGGCTTTTAAGGAGGGTGGAAAGTAAGAGAACAGGGTTCGGTTTGAACGTAGTTGCTTACCCAAATGCCATTACAGTTTGAATCCTGATGTATATCCCAGTTGTCCGGCCTGAAAAGAAAACATCAGCATTGGTCTTTGACATACACTTGTCAATCAGTGAATGCTAGCTTCATGAGTGAATGAATGAGTGCTACACGAAATGTCTTTGATAGACAACAGGTTCTTCAAGGACGAATGCCACACACCATTGTGTGTTGTGGCACACAGAAGCCTCCACTTGGCTTCTTTGCCATTATCTTGGTTTGGGTATTTGCTGGAAACTGTGGACCAAATCCAGTCTTTTCATGATTGACTATATTCATGGACTATATTGTTGTGGAATGGTGCTGATAAGCATAATGAACGAGTGTGCAGTCCATTTTATTTAGACAGGTGGAGCCATTAAAATTATGTCTCTCAAACCCCAAACATCGGGTTAATTTAATACTTTGGCATTGTGGTCACAGCTGAGATGAAGGTTGGCATATCCATTTTTTGAGGTCAGAGATGTGATTGGCTGAACATCAGCCCGGGATTAAAATGCGACATGCGCTCCGCTCACTGGAGCCCTCTCCTCACTCCCAGTGGACAGGCTACTATTTCTGGTCTCAGTCCTGCATGTAGAACTCATGAAGGGGGCTGGATAAATGTCCACAATAACCCATTTGCTCACTTGTTTCTCCCACTAGACTGTAAGCTCCATGAGAGAAGGCATATTTCTATGTTGTTTTCCACCCAACGCGATGTAGAGTGCTTGGCAATTAGTACGTGCTCAATGAACATTTCTTGGAAGAATGAATGAACGAATGCTGTTCTTTTTTCACTGAGCTTTGCTTCAATCGGGACACAGAGGTGCCTCCTCTCTGTAAGCATGAATCCCCTAGGCTGGGGGAAGGAATTATGCCTCCTGCCTCCTTTTCAGAAGGTAATTTTCAAATCAATGACCAGCAGAGACAGTTACCTTCTGCCCGGGTACACCATCCCGTTGCTGTCATTACAATCTCTTCCTCGCCAGTGATAGCCCCGCAGTGTCTGAAATGGAAGAGGACACACAAGAAGGGTTCAGTTCTGTCTTGATGTTATCCATGATGAAGGTCAATTACAGCTGTCCGAGGGTTATTGTCATCTGCAGTTTTTAATTCACATACAGTCTAGGCACACTGGAGATTACTAAGAAAATTAAGATGAATATGATAAGACATGCTGTGTGAAGTGAAATGTAGTACAGTACCAGGGCCGTTAACAGGTGGTAGTGTGTGTGTATGTGAATGTGTGTGTGTATGTGAATGTGTGTGTGTATGTGATGTTGGGGTGTGCCTGTATGTGGGTGTATGGAGGTGCATGTGCATGAATGTGTATTCACGCGGGCATGTGTGGTTATATGTGTGCATGTTGTAACTAAGTGTGCATGCACACATATGTGTGTTCGTGTATGTGTCTACGTGCAGTTCCACAGACAGCGGGACTGTCTAACTCCCTGAACTTTCTCTGTTAATCATCAGTTTTCTTAGGCTCCAAAACAATTGGGTTATTTGGTCAAATGATTAATCATTTTACTGGATAATTAAAAAATCTTTAGCCAAAGTGGTTAGTTATGTAGATGTATTGTATGTTTGACCAGCCTGATTTGAGAGAATCAAGGGCTATGATAATGTCAAAAGATGCTTTTATTTCTCCCATTCCCAGGTAGAGTATCTGTGATCCCACTAACTTTGGGGAGTAACAGATGTCAATCTGTTACTTGCTTGTTTGCTTTCAGAGAGAACATCCTGACATCCTAACTGCTCTAAATCAAACGCGCACATACACGCATAAACACACACACACACTTTAAAAAAGTAAGTTAAAGTAGGTTTAAGAATTTCAAAAGTAACTCAAAACACCTTTCAAGATAACTGTAATCTTCATGGAGAATTCCAGCTGGGAACAGCTTCAGGAAAGAAAAGCAGTCTGGGTCTAAGATCCACTTTGATGGTCAATGTATTATTAAGACGCCAAAAAGTCCATAAAAATCGTGAAATGGTATATCATCAAATTAATAATACATTCAAATGGAGTTCAATCTTGTCTTATTAAAGGAAAGGAATTTGTAGGAAGTGATACAATATTTAGTGAACATTTGGTTACTCTTAACAATACTTACTGGGAAAACACTGTATTTGTCTGAATCTACGTCTTTGAATGGCATAGAATTTTTTATAGCTCTAGAAAAAAGAAAACAAACACCTGGTGAGCCAAGAAAAAAAAAACTGTGCTTGTGAAAACAAATAGAGACATTTTCAGATATAGCTGTGCTGAGTTTTTGTGACAGAAGCCCATTCTAAAAATAAAATTAAGGGCCTCCGTCGTATGTAAGAGTGCCAGTCAAACTTTGTCATTCTCTGCTCTCCACTCAAGAGAACTATCTTATCTTTTATATTTAACTTGGCCCTTATGAGGAAGTAAAATAATTGAAGTTTTAGAGGGCATGGGGTATTGATGTTGAGATCTCCAGGAAAGAAGGAGACTGCATTTTTGGTACGGTCTGGTCCAGTCAATGAGTCAGCGCTATGGATTGAATTTTCGGTGTTTTACACATTCTGTGATGAGACTCTTTTCTTAAAATTCTACTCTTTTAAGTCATTTACTCTGAGAATCTTGAGGCATTTAGTTATCATTAGCTGGCCACTTTAGTCCTGGGAAACTAAGGACTCTGATGTGATTGATGAGCAAGCAAATTCATGCCAAAGCCATGGACACCTCCTCTGGGTGAGTATTTCCCTGTATCCTCACTACCAGAATTTTCCAGGCTCCCAAATGGTGAACACTACTTTCCCTCTGGGAAAATCACTTATGGGGTAGCAGGGTAGTGGGGTCATATGGAGGGTGAGGCTATTCTTGGAGCTTAGACTGTAGAGAGACTAACATGACCCTTTATAGGATTTATTAAAATGTCTTTTTTTTTTTTTTTTTTTTTGTGAGGAAGGTCAGCCTTGAGCTAACATCCATGCTAATCCTCCTCTTTTTGCTGAGGAAGACCAGCTCTGAGCTAACATCTATTGCCAATCCTCCTCCTTTTTTCTCTCCCCCAAAGCCCCAGTAGATAGCTGTATGTCATAGTTGCACATCCTTCTAGTTGCTGTATGTGGGACGCAGCCTCAGCATGGCCGGAGAAGCGGTGCGTCGGTGCGCGCCCGGGATCGAAACTGGGCCGCCAGTAGCATAGCGCCCGCACTTAACCATAAGCCACGGGGCCGGCCCCTAAATGGTCTTTTGAGTCAAGAGCTTCTCAGCAGTTCTGAGAGCCCCAAGATGAATGAATGCAGCCAGAGCCAGCGTGGAGCCTAATTGGTAGCACGGAGCCCATCTTATGAACTCTGGAATGGTGGACCCACCAGAAGTTCAGGTTATAGCCCTCTTTGGAGATGACATCTCTGTGAGACTAGGTAGTTCTCTCCCATGTTCATATTTGACCTCTCACACAACTGTTTCCTTTGTCTAGTTGAAAAAGTGAGGAAAGACACACACACACACACACACACACACACACACAGAGTGAGAGAGAAAGACTGAGAGAGATGATAGGGGCCCAAGCAGCCATATTTTCAGTCTAAGAAAAGGTGCTGGGTGAAAGGTCTCACTTTAGCATGCCAAAGCTATTCCTTCCCATTTTTGCCATCTTGGGGATGAGAGTTTGTCCTTGAAAGAAGGAGCAATGAATTGTCTCTAGAATTGGAAAGCTAGTTCATTAAATTAGCCTTCACCTGCTTATTTTAAAGGCTCAAAGTGACTAACTATAGCCATTTATTCTAGACATGAGAGGGTTGATTGGTCATCCAATGTGGCATAAACTGCAATTTACATAAACTCCACAATTCCTTGTTCACAGCCCCCAAATCCAAACAGCTCTGAAAACCAAGAGTTTTTTTTTTCCAACTTTGTAGCAATTTCTTTTGGTGGCAAACTTGACCTAAACTGATATAAGGCAGTTCATAAGCTTTACCCTACTTAGCGTGAACATTCATACATTTCACTGCTGAAATACGATATGTTTGATCAGGAGGTGCTGAGAGTGTTAGATGACATAGTATATGCACCATATGTTGATTTCTTAAAATCTGGAGAATTCTGAATTCCAAATCACATCTGGCTCCAAGGTTTGGGATAAGGCATTATTGACTTTTACTAACATTACTTCTGCAAAATTATATCTAAATTTGATACCTTGTATATCCTTACAGGTATCTGGTTGTATGCTGAAATATTCATTCATTCATTCATTCATTCATTCATTCCACAGGCATTTTGGAGTCCCTGCTGTGTATCAGACATTATATTAGATATTAGGGATAAATATAAGCATTTCCTTTGCTAGAGGAGCTTAATGATAGGTGCGGGAAGCAAAGCACTGATAGATAACTACAGCACTATGGAGAAAACACTACAAAAGGGTTGTGCACCAAGAGGGAAAACATCTCTAACTCCACACAGGGGAGGAGGTGAACTTAAGGTGAAATCTAAAGGATGAGAAAGCATTTTCAAGGAAAGTAATTGGGTGAAGGGTGTGCTAGCAGGAAGGAAAAGCCAGGGGAAGCCCCTTAACATAGCTCTGGGTTCTGAAATTAGACTCTCTGGGTTTGAATCCCAGGTTTGCTGTCTATTTGCTATGTGCCCTTGCAAAATATTTAATCTTTCTGTACCTCTGTTTCCTCATTTTTAAAATGGGGCCAATATTAGTACCTGCCTCCTAGGGCTGTCGTAAAGACTAAATGAGATGCTACATGTGAAGCACGAAGACCTGTGCCAAGCACGTGGTAAGCACTCACGAAAGGTGAGTTTAGCTCTTTTTGTTATTAAGTGCAACAGTGACGGTTATTCCAAGGGAGTTTCTAGGGCTGGGCGAATAGGAGCCAGGTGTCGGCTCTTATGACATTTTAGTTTCTGGAGACATCCCAAATATAATCCATGGACTGTCTTCAGATTTGCAGGTTTCCAGCCACACAATGTTCTATCCAGTTACCATGTGGGCTGGGGCAGCTAATCACTTGCTGGCTGCTGCTGCTCTGTCACTGCCAGATGCTGGGCTAGCAGGCATGACCTAGTGAGCAATTGTAATTGCAGCTGGATGCTATTTATTACATAATAGTGAGCTATTCAAGTTCAAACTCCCTAAAATTATTTCATGAATCTGGGGCATTACAACAAAGGAAAACTAGGGAGAATAAAGTTTCCATGTGTACCTGCCTCACATCTGAGTCCCAGGCAGCACTCCACGGCCAAGAGTGGGTCTGTTTTGTACATATGTGGATGTGTTATATGCATCTCCATAAGATGAAAGGAGAACAGAGAAAACCATGGAAGGATACACCCTGACGTGTTGACATGGCTCAGCTTGGTGGCAGGGACAAGGACAGACATGGGTGGAATGAGCAGGGCATGGGAAAGAAGGAACAAGTGAAAAAGGAAAAAAAAAGTAATAATGAATTAAAAGCACAATTAACGTAGGATTTGATAGTCTGTATACATTTATGTGAAATAACACATATGTGGGTTTATGCATATAGAAATTAAGTGAAATAATCTACTAGAAGAATAGATTATCAAGAGGGGACCCTCCTGATTTATCATTGTTACAATAAAAAATAAACGTAGGTAGGCACTGTGAATTTTGATCAAAACAACAACAACAAACTTGATTGCCCCATAGCAGTAGCCTGGTATTTTATACATTTTTTTTCTAGTAAAGTCGTGCTTTTTTCTTTCTTTATTCCCTCGTTTCTTCACTAAGTCCCTACCAAAGCTAAGCACTGTGATAGGTACCAGGGATAAAGAGTGTACCAAGAAATGGTATCCCCGCTCTCCAAGAGCTGTTGTTCAGTGTGGGAGACTGATGGGGAGGCAGCATTAGAGGAACGGGGTACAGGGGCAGGCACTGGTGAGCTCGGAGTACCGAGGTGAGCTAGACTGAACTTAGGCTGGGAGTGGGTGGAGACGCCTCTAATGCATTTTGAAGGCACTAGACCAAACAGGATGGGGGCAGGGAGAGGCACAGAGCAGGAAATGCATTTCTGCTGGAGGGGATTTTATTGAAGGAGTATGCAACAGAAGACACGCAGGTCTCGTCTCTACCACCTGCCCACTGTGCTAGTGGGTCAGGCGTTTAATTTGCTAGAACTTATTTGTTCATCTAAAAGTGGAGCTAAAAGTTAAGGGACAGTGTAGTGGCCTTTGGAATCAGGCTGCTGGGTTCAAATGTCGTGTTTATCCATGACTAGCTTTGTTATCTTGGGCAAATGGCTTTACCTCTTTAGAAAGGAGATAATAATGGTGCCTGCTTTATAGCGTTGCATTTACAAGAGTTCCTGGAGTATAGACAGCACTAGATAACTTTTAGTTATTATTATTACGGAGCCACAGGTTGTTTTGAAGAATAAATGCCGCTGCATTTAAACATGCTTTGTAAACAATAAATCACTGACTAGATTGTGACCTGGTGCAAATGCTACTTGAAGCACAATGATTTTTAGGAAGAAGAAAAGCACACTGCTTTTGCTTTTTCATAAAAGAAGAGTTTCCCTTTTAAATTGGGCCGGGAAAATCCCTGGATGAAGATGCTCTTGAATTCAGTTTTTCAAAGGTGGTTCAATTGAAGAGTTGTCATTTTGGGTCCAGCTGGCCCCTGTTTGACATAGAAAATGATGCTTTCAGCAAGGAGGGGACAGGGGTCTCAATTCAACAAGAGCTGCGCATGATGGAATGACTAGGGCCTGGGGAGCTGGCTGCACCTCAGCCTCCCCGTATCTTCTTTCACGTCTGATGCTTCCCCTCCTGTCCCCATGTCCTGATGCTCTCTGCCTCCACCCTTATTCATGGAAAGCAGTGTTGATACTGTTTCTGGGACCCAAGCCAGCACTTTGCACAGCTGGCTTGCAAAAGCTCATGCAGGCAGATGAATCAGAAAAAGTTTCTGAACTCTTGGATCCCTAAGAGGCTCTGAATGTGGGTCAGAAGCATAGCCTCCTCCTCTCCCGAGATACTTTCACAGCAGACAGGAGATGTTCTGTGGGTTTGGCTCCCATGAAGCTCATGAGACGAAGGATGGCCGAACATAGGAAAAGTGTCTCTCTTACGGGTTGAACTGTGTTTGCCAAAAAGATATGTCGAAGTTCTAACCCTCGGTCCCTGTGAATGTGACCTTATTTGGAAATAGGGTCTTTGCAGATGTTATCAAGTTAAGATGAGGTCATTAGAGTGGGCCCTAATCCAGTATGACTGGTGTCCTAATAAAAGGAAAAGACAGACACAGAGGAGGGTGGCCGTGTATGAAGACGGAGGCAGAGACCGGAGTGACGCAGCTGCAAGCCAAGGATTCACGGCCACCACCAGAGGCTAAGAGGTGAGGAAGACCCCGGGTCTCAGAGGTACTCTCAGAGGGAGCAGAGTCTCAGAGAGACACTGCCTACACCTTGCTTTCGGACTTCTAGTCTCCAGAACTGAGAGAGAATACGTTTCTGTTGTTCCAAGCCCCCCAGCTTGTGATATTTTATTACAGCAGCCCTAAAAACCAAATATAGCCTCTCAGTCCAGATGTGCAGCCTGACTCTCACCTCTGGGTGTTCTCATCTCTAACCCCTCTCAGTGAGAGCCAGGCCGGACTAGAATGCGCTCAAGTAACAGGAACTACCTGCAGGAGAGCAAGAAGAAAAGCAGCAGGGGCCGGGATGGGTGGTGCGGTCTACGTGAATGTCTCACAGCTAAAGAGCATGATTTTGAGTCATTAAAGCATCACCTGTACATGCAGCATCCACAGTCTTGCCCCTGAACTAGAACCTGAGTGCTGGGGAGGACACAGACAATCAGGAGCCCAGGAAAATGCGGTGCTCTCTCTCTAGGTCTCAGGCCAGGGAGTCTGCATTTTAAAAACTTCCCAAATGATTCCGAGGTGCAGCCATAATTTAGTCTATCCCTTAAGTTTAGATGTGGGGAAAATGAGGCTCAGAGTGGCTCAAATTCTCAAAATTGGCTCAAGAAGCAGCATTGCGTAGGAGTCAAGAATACGGATGTTCCCAAAGAACACACACCTGGGGTGTATCTTGGGTCCTCAGTGGCTGGGAGAAGTTACTTCTTTAAGACTCAGTTTCCTCCTCTGTGAAATGGGAATAATAATAATCCCTACTTCATGGAGCTGTTGTGAGAACTAAACGTGGAAATGTACTGAAAGTTCAGCATTGGGCACCTAGAAGAGGGCCCGTATACTACCCGGTAGCAGCAGCAGCAGTCATATGTGAAGTAGCCAAGTGGAAGGCAGAAACGATGCTATTTTGCCTCTCAGTCCAATGTCCCTCTTAGGACCCTGTTCCATCTCTGAAGGTTTTTGGACAGTCATTACTCTGACATCCAGCATAACCTCATATTCAAAATGGAGCTGGAGTATGAGATTTTAAACTGAGACAGGAGGGCTTGGGGATTCTGGACAGTGTCTCTGTATTCAGAACTCTGTTCATACATATCTGAGCCAGATTTTTTTAGGAAATAGTTTGGGCTCTGTGAAAAAATGGTCTCTTTTCAGCCTCCCGAGTGCCTTGCACTAAAGATGCATGAAGAGTCTCTGCGATGACGAGTTGCTGCCCTTGTCTGTATCTCACACAACCAGGAACGGGGGCGCTGTTTCTGAGTGTGGTGCAAGTGGGCACCACTCTGCTCAGGAAGTGTCACGGGCAGGCTGTGTTCCAGCTCAGGGTACAAGTCAGGCTCTGAGGTTCAAAGATACTGGTATTCAGTATATTTCCAAATTGATTTGGTCAGAGCTAATTTGTCTTTTAGTGTCTGTACAAGTCGTGAGCAAGAAACACCTTCATCTTTGGGAAGATGCCTTTTAAATTTGAAGATCACTTTAGTGATTAGCAAACAGGGACAACCAAAGATGCTGCCCCATGCCAGTGCTCAGGAAGGTGGAAATGGCATACATACAATTTAATCTTCTGACAGATCTTGGCCAAAAATGGGAGAGAACAAATATCAGAACCACTTCTGGAATATTTCTGGAGAGAAAAAAAACAACAAAAAGAGTGGTTTAGTTCAAGGAATGGTTCCCCAACTTCTAAAGGCCTTTCCTCTCCTGTTGGCTCCATGGTCTGGATTTCTGGATTCTCCTTCCTCCAGAATGCCGGCCATTTTACATAACTAAGCAACCTCTTGTTCTGTCCCCACACTCCATATTCACTCCTTCTCTGTGCCTTTGTTCCTGCTGGTTCCTCAGCCTGAAGGCTCCCCCTTCCTCTTCACCCAGCCAGCTATTCCCACATCATCTATTCTCCACCTCTTCCCAGAAGGGTCTGGCCCACCTTGGTCTGTTCTACTCAGACAACCACATTCTCTTCCTCATTCTACCCAAGTGCTTTGAAAAAGAATTTGAAAATAAAGAACATTTTCAAATAAAATAATTCCCTCCTATGAAGAGGTAAAATAAAGACTCATGGGAGAGACGTGGCCAGGGCTTGGGAAGAAGGAAGAAGGAAGGGCCCTTCCCTGGGGGAGTGGAGGGGGCAGGAGAGGTGCTTCACTAGCAAAGGGATTTCGGATGGCAGTTTCCATAAGACTCCAGCTGTGCGATGAAGTAAAAGCCCTGACTTTTTACTAAGCAGTGCTTTGAGAAAGATTGTGATTTCCATGATGCTTTCCTCAGTTGAAAGAAAAAGAAGACAACAGGGTAGAAAAAGTTAGGAACCAACATTTATCCACGAAGTGAGAGATGCAGTCGATTCCTGCCAGCCCAGAGTCCTTCAGGTGGCTATGAGTTGTATTAAGGGCGTTGGCGATATTTTGACCCTGGCAAAGGAGGATCGGCAACCCTTTTAGGCTATAAATGAAATCTTTAAGGATCTTTGTGATATTTGCTCAATTTTCTAGGATTAGAGGAAAACTCCTGACTATTGCCCCCATCTATATGCAAGACATGAAGACAGAAAAGGCTGTCCTTGCCCTCACGGAACTCAGGGTCTAGTGGAGGGTGGGAGTGGATAGCCCAGCTCTTAGTATGCTCTGCGATGTGTGTAGTGGTCCAGGCATTAGCAGGGCTGTCTAGGAACCCAGAGGAGGAGGCAGAAGATGACCCAAAAGTCAAGTAGGAAGGAGTCAGGTGGGAAGGAAAAGACAGATGCTCTATGCTTTGTGATTCCAATGCAGTCCGCAGACTTGATACAGAGGCAATTTATCGGCCCCACCCCGATCCACAGAATCAGAAAGCCTGGGGGTGGGTCCCGGGAATCTGTGTTTTCACAGCCTCCTGGTCATTCTGATACCTGATAAGGTTTGAGAACCACTGTTCTGGGTCCTAGCTGCTGAAAGCGTGATCACCAACTAGGAGCATTGATACCACCTGGGAACTGGTAGAAATACAAAGTCCCACAGCAGACCTGCTGAATCAGAATCTACACTTTTACAATGTCCTTTTACCAGGTCCCAGTTGTTGGAGCGCACACCAAAGCTGGAGAAGCACCGCTCCTGGCAGAGGGAGCACCCCACAGAGTGCTGTGGAGGCATGAGCAGGTCTGACATCTTGGGAGACCACAGAATGCTTCGACATGGCTGGAGCACAGGGAAGCATGACAATGAGGTGAAGTACAGAAGGAAGGAGGCATCCTGACAAACCTAGGGTGCTGCACTACGTATGGTCCTGAGGGCAGTGGGGAAGGTGTTATGCGGAGAGATTGCATTTGCATTTCAAAGGTATCTCTGGGAGTGACAGGATGGCCTAGAGGAGGCAGGATGGGGCAGAAAGACCTTTGGCAGATAGAGATCCTGAGGCCTGATCCTGGGGTTTCTAACCTTCGCACTATTGTCAATTTGGGCTAATTTAATTCTTTGTTGTGGGGCTGTGCTGTGCGTTGTAGGATGTTTAGCAGCATATCTGGTGTCTACCCACTAGATAGCAGTAGCACCGAAATATCTCCAGACATGGCCAAATGTCCCCTAGGGGAGGACAAAATTGCCACTGGTTGGGAACCACGGATGCAAGGCGGGAGGAGGGGGATGGTGGTGAGAGGAGCGAGGTTTACCAGGCTGAGTCCAGAGACCTGGTGACTGATTGAGGTCAGGACTGTAGACATACTGTAAAGCAAACACCAGCATGAAATTATACCACAGCATTGGTGGCAATTTGGAAATATAGACACATTCTAAGACACAGAGTCTGAAGTCAGGTTACATCCAAATGTTTGAGCTACTTCTTTTAGTATTTAGTTTAGTCTAAAGGCCTTGGTGTAATTAACCTAAGGGCAATGGAGATTTTAGCACTGGTGATAACCAATACATCAAAAACAGTTATATGGACGGCCTTATAATGACTACACAAGAGGTACAATAGAATAAAATGTTATAATTGTCTGCTGTCAAAATTCAGCCTGAAGTCTGCAGGGGTCTTCGACATTCATTGTGCAGAAATTGGGGCTAGAATGTGGGCTTGATCTCCCCAGAACTCCTCCTGTTTAGACAGAGGTTTTGATTATTTGGTCTTTTCATCATGTAATTCAGGAAAGACTATCCTCTTACAATTTACTCGCAAAGAGAAGTAAGACAGACATAGAGCAACACTGCAGAAGTCCTTGTGTGCATGCTCGCCAGCCCCTTCCTTTCAATTTGAACTTTGCTAGACAGAGGCAAAATGTGGACTGTTATTAACTCAGCAATGGATTTAAAATATTGCATCTGGCTGCATGTAATCCCTTCTAAGATGAAAGTCTCAAATCTGGCTGTCCCTGGGCGCAGGAGTCACGCAGCATCTTCACTTTGCAATCTATTTAGCCAGCTTCTGATTGCATCCTGAGTATTCCACACACCAGGATGTTAAATTAGTACAGAACAACAAATGGGGGTTGAATAAAGCAAAGTGCGGTGAGTGGGGTAAATAGAAGGTCAAAGAGGGAGAGTAACCACTCTTCTGTCCAGAGCCAACCTGAAATTGAATTTCTGCGTGGTAAAGTGCTTTTCAACCCTCCATGTGTATTATTTTACTTGGATTTAATTGGACTGGGGCAGAGCTTGAACAGCAGCAATTTTAAAAGTCTTCCCAGACAATTCTATTGAGCAGGCAGGTTTGCAATCAGGGCCGTCATATACAGGCACACAGGTTGTACACTGCATGATTCTAAGATCCACATAGCTTGTGATGTGAAGGGTGCTTCCTGAAACTTAGTACTGAGGAGATCTGGTCAAGAGCTCTGGCACAGTGGGAAGGGTAGGGACTTGTAAGTAGTTAGATCTAGATTTAAATGATGAGTTTCTCACTTACTAGCTGTATGGAGTGGGTGAATTACTTAACCTATCTGATTTTTAGTCCTCTCATCTGTAAAATGGGGTTTATAACAAAAGCATGCTCTCTACTTTGTAGGGATTTTTGTGAGAATTAAATAAATTGATTCCATAACTCAGATACTCTAAACCCTTAGATGCTCAGTGCTCTGCCAAATCCATGAAGCGTCCCCCTGAGGAGCCTCTCAGGGTCTCACTGAGATGCAGATCTTTTCTGGAACATTTGATTCCCTTCAATAATACTTAACTTTTCCCCAGTCTGGATTCTCACAGTCTGACAGGCTGTGCTGAAGTAATATGCAACCTACTGTGTGTTTCTGTCTGCATCCTGGCTAGGTCGGCAGTCATATAGTCCATTACAATGCAATTAATTGCAGCCAGTATCCTCTGAACAGTTTTTCAGAGACACTTATTTGCATTTTCTGATGATTTTTTTCTTTGATAGCTTTAATCTGGAGAGTAAATAAATTGGAAGAGGTTTTTGAGGAGTTTTTTATTGTTGAATTGTTCAGCAGAATTTTTTTTTTGGCTTCTCTCCAGAATTGCAAGCATAATCCACGGGGCAGGATTCCAATAATTCCTTGCAAGGAATAAAATGACAGAAATGAAAAATTGTAAAATCCTAATTAGCCTTTGAGTCAATGCCAAGGCAGTTTGTGCTAGTGAAATAAACAATGCCCTGAGAATAAGTTTTTAGATGCATATTGAGAAGAATAAAAGGAGAATTGCATTATTCTCTAGTTCTGTTTAGAGTTCTGAAGGTGGTGGTCAAGGATTTCATGTGGTGTTTCAATTTCTTGCTCAATGACTTAAGCGTATTGGGCCTTTAATTATTCACTGAATTAAATAATGGTAGGCAATGCAGACACTGTGATTAATTAATCCATTGTGTACAAATGCCTGCATATTGCCATTCACATGTATCAGCTTTGTACATCAAAACCTGTATGCCCCCTACGAGTAGGACTGCCAGATAAAATATTGCACTGGACATTCTTATATGAAAAAATTGTTTATTTGAAATTCAAATTTAATTGGACGTCCTCTATTTTTATTTGCTAAATCTGGCAAGCCGAGCCCTGAGGGATTTTCCTCCCCTTTATTTCCATGTTGCCAAATCAATATTACCTTCAATGTATTGCATCAGGGTGAGTGATGAGCTGGGTCAGCAGAGAGAAGCCAAGGACGAAGTCCATGCCCCCTCATCTCTGAAGAATGCTTCCGTACTGCCAGGACCTTGAGCATCAAGGGAGATACCATCCTTTAAAGGTCTACTTTTCTGCCTCTCTTAACATTGGGGCAGATTTGCAACCAGTGCCTAAGTCAAATACTTGACTCCATAATAACTGATTTGAACTGAACATTCTATCTGTTGAATAAAAGTATTATTACAAAGAGGGCAAAGTAGGGGAGAGGAATCATAACGGTGATGAGTTTAGCCAGCATTTATTGAGAGCTTGGTAATTCCCAGGCATGATACCGGGCACTTGACATTCATCAACTCTATTAGTCCTCACATCCATGCTTCGAGAAAGGAACACTATTATTGTCCCTGTCTTACTGACAGGAAAACTGAGGCTCAGCCGAAGGTCACATTTTTAGAAAGAAGAGGAGCAAGAGGATACAGCCTCTTTCAAAACGGTCTGCCGGAGGGCAGCAGATCTCAACTGTGTGTACCAGAGGGCATTTGACAATGTCAGGAGACATTTTTGGTTGCCACGACTAGGGAGGGGTGGATGGTGCTGCTGGCATCTAGTCGTGGAGGACAGGGATGCTGCTGAACATCCTACAACAATCAAGAATTATCCAGCCCAAAATGTCAGTAGTGTCGAGGTTGAGAAACACTGCTGTAGAGAGAAGGGAGGAAAAAAGGGGTAAGGAGCTCGTGTTTCTACTTCAATCCAGTTCAACTAGGTGTGTTGTGGGCTTGTATCTGGAGTAGCCCCCGGCCTTTGGAGTGTGAGAGCAGGGGTCAGGGAGAGGTGAACACGCCAAGGATTCTACCCATTGATTGCTCACCAAAGTCGGAGATTTCTCGACAATCTGTCTTGCCTTCTCTAGTGTAAGTTTCCATGCCTCCTATAAAAACAAAGTTAGACAATATTATAATTTGTTCCTCATCTTTTCTTTCTATATTTTTTCTAAAGTTAGGATTTTTGAAGTCCTTAAATTTTCAATAAAGAAATTATTCCATAAATTTGTGATAAAATAATTCACAAGAAGGCAATTTCATGTTAATAACTATCTTTATTAAGGTATTTACTTTGTGCCAGATGCCATGCCAAGTACTGTGTAAACATTATCTAATTTAATCTTCACAACAGCTCTGAGAGATATGACATTTTTACAGATGAGAAAATTGAGATGCAGAAAAGCTGAGAAACTGGCTGAAGATCGCAGAGCCAGTGTCTGGCAGAGTCTGAACCTCAGCCTCCCTGCCCGTAATGCTATGCTGATCTCCCTAAGAAACTTGACCTTGTGTCTGAAAACCCCACTGCAGGAGGCTGTCAACAGCCGACCTGAGCGCCATATGCTGCTGTACTGAAAAAGGTTTGACTACTGGCATGTAAGGTCACACTCCATCTCTGGTTTACCTCCTCTTCTCCTGGTTAGACATCCCCCGTTCCCTTTCAACCATTTCTAGAGCATTTAAGCACATCTTCTGAGTTTACATTGCAACTATAAAGAGGTAGCTAGTTATTACCAATAACTGTTGTTATGGAACTCCAGGGACTACTGTGTTGGTGTATCTGTGGGAGGGTTGGGAGAAAAGTACCCTGGGGTGTAGTGAGGAATGGGGAGGATTTGCTCCAAGAGCTGCTTCCAGAGCTTTTGTCATCCCACTCAGTTCACATGTCCTGGCCTTGCCACATTCCTCCTCGGCCTGCTCCCTGTGTGGCCCTAATAGAGCAGGGGTGATGGTTCACACGCCTGGGTTCAAACTCCGGCTCTGCTGCTTACTAGCTGTGCATCCTTGAGCAAGTTATACTCCTAGCTCTTCAGTATCCAGAGAATTCCTTAACATATAAGAAAGCCCTATTTTTATCATCTGCAACATGGGGATTACAGCTCCCTACCTCATAAGGCGCTGTGAGGATTACAGGACATCATTCATGTAACACACCTAGCCCAGGGCCTGCCTCTATAATCCCCTGCTCAATAATTGATAGATGCTTAGAAAACTTCTGTCTTTCAGCTCCAGTTTTCCCTCATCCGAACCAGTAGGGAACCTGGGATTTGGGGACAGTGCTGTAGTTCTTGCTCCAGGTGACTGAGAACATTGTCCCAGCATTTCAGCAGAAAAAAATGGGTCCTGGAATGGGACTTGGAAGCTGGCTAGTCAGCAGAAGAGGCCTCCTGGGAGATGCTGGCCACTGCTGCTCATGGATGTTCAGGACTTGAGTCCCTCCTTGACTCCTTTTTACGTTCTTCACCCTGGGAGATGCCTTTCTCCGCCCTGGAGCTACGTGATGTTCTGAAGACCACAGCCACGTTGAGTGAGCATGAGCAGAGCAGTGACCACTCGGTGTGAGCCTGGGTAGGAGTGAATGTTCCAGGAGATGCTTTAGGAAGAAAAGCAGCAGAGCCAGCCGCAGCTCGCCCTCCACGGGCCGGCTCTGAAACCCTCTCCCTGGTGTCTGCCCGAAGTCACACTCCTCCAGCTCAAGTTCAAAGGATGGCAAACCGAGGCTCTTGTGTCAGAGGCAGCAGGCCCGCTGGCATCTAAGAGTGCATGTTAGCAACTTGAGAAAAGAAGCCGCTCTGTAAGTGGGTCTGGTTGTCAGGATGCCCTTGAATAGTGTTATGTTTCTTAAAACATTGAAACACTATGGTGCCAGTTGGTGAACAGTTGTGTCCCTGAGCTCCTGACTGTTCCCACCACTGCCCTGGCCACCCAGCCTCTCCCTAGGACTTCCAAGACCTCCTTGTGATCCGTTAACCAAGGGGTCAATGTCATGGTACACCCAGTGGGTACCTCCAGACTGCACTTCAACACGACACCCAGGGTCCATTCTGATTAGCTGACAGCAGGGCCAAAACAGTCCATTACAATCCCCACTTTTAAAATATGGACGTCTTTAACAGAAAGACTGCTTAGGAAATGGCCCCATTCAAAAACTGACTTTATTGGGGCCAGCCCGGTGGCGCAAGCGGTGAAGTGCGCACGCTCTGCTGCGGCAGCCCGGGGTTCGCCGGTTCGGATCCCGGGCACACACCGACGTACTGCTTGGCAAGCCATGCTGTGGCGGCATCCCGTACAAAGTGGAGGAGGATGGGCATGGATGTTAGTCCAGGGCCAGTGTTCCTCAGCAAAAAAAGAGGACGATTGGCAGATGTTAGCACAGGGCTGATCTTCCTCACACACAAAAAAAACAAAAACAAAACTCACTTTATTGAATGCAATTTTGGCTTTTTCTGGAAATTCCAACAAATCCTGGAAATTCTCCTATTGTATAAAGCAAGCATCTCTGGTGAAGTCACTATAAGACACTAGATCCAGTTGTAAATTTCTGTTATGGTGGATTTTTTGGCTGCCCTTATTAACCTAAAGTTCATTCTCCACAATATTGAAACTTGGAGGTGGTATTCTTCTGCCTTAATTACATGCCCTCTGCTTCTCTGTCTCAGAAGGAAAGACGCCTTTGCATTCTGAGGCCCAGCTCAAGCATCTACAGGGCCTGACAGTCCGTGTTACATACTAGGTGCTCAATAGATACGGAAATAAAAAGTGAAAGAAAACACTCATGATATTATGTTAAGTAAGGAAAACAGGCTAATCAGATTTTACATGGACATAAAAAATCCTGCAAAGAATTATGCCATAATATTTGTGGGTGATATCTTTGTCCTTTTGGTTCTTTTCTGTGTTTTCTAAATTTTCAATAATGAGCACAAATTCAGTTAATAAATGCTTTCAAAAAAGATCTCAATACACGTGACCCTGTTTCTTATTGAAAAAGAAAATGATGTGCTCAGAGCACAGGGACGTGGTGAGAGCCCTGGAGACCTGGTGGTGAACAGACATCCCTGCCCTCCCGGAGCTTTTGGGCTGGAAGGAGACAGATCAGGAACAAGTACAGCAAACAGAAGTAAGATGAAGCAGGGAGAGGGCCCTGGCAACATCTTCCTGGGGAGGCCACTTGGACCCCCTTGAGAGAATCAATTTGATTTTAATCCAGCTTAGTTCTCTGGGCGGATCAATGTTTAGTGAGGGGTGAAGACAAGCAAAAAAAAAAAAAAAAAAAAAAGTGACAAGGGCTGCTCCAAATGCCTTCTGATCCCTTAGTGCTGAGCTGATTGAAGCTTCTGTGGTCCTCCCTGGAAGACTGAGGGCAGGTTGGTCTGGACCTGGCTTGACCAGAGCACCACTTTCTCCCACAGTTCAAGTGCACTAATCTGGACATAAAAAAGAGAGTCTAGATAAAGGCCTGATCTATATTCCCCAGAAGAAAATGGATATAAAGACTCAAAGACATTTGGAAAAGCTAATTTGTTTGCATGTCTTAGTGACAGGCAAAGGGGGCAAATTGTAAGTCATGTGAAAATGAAGATAATTGCTATCTCTCCTTGGTATCCTTTTCACGGTGTTTAAGCCATTGTTTCCAAGGAATGAGGACAATTTTCCATCTTCTGAAAAATTAAACCTTCAGAATGGAGGGTACAACTGTAATCAGTGGTTGGAGAGAAAGTTTGGGAATAGATTGTGAGCTGGATATATAAAACTCTTCTGGTGGGAAGCCATAATGATGTTTATGACTCAGCTAGAGCCGTGATCTGAGGCATAAGCTGATTCTCCATCAACAATGAGGAGCTTGGCCCTGGAAGTGCTCACTTGATCCCGCAATTTGTTATGGTCAAATCTTTTCAGCTTCTCATTACTTTCTCCTTTTGGTTATAGTATTTCCTTATTCCAGCTTCAAATCCCCTTGAGAGCCTATTTAACACTCTCGTGAGTGAATCGCCGAGGAAGCCATCACACAGGCTCACAGAGATATAAGCCGTCAGCCTGAAGGCTTATAGTCCAAAGAACCGTGGATATGTATATTGAATTTCTTTACTCAAGAACTCAGAAAATTCCAAGCACAACACGTCATGGTGCCCTAGCAATCTACAGAAGGGGAGAGGCTGGCCCTTTGCTTGATCATCAGAGTACACAGTAGCATATCTCCACGGAGGCTTGTGAAACATTTTTGTCTAGAATGATTTAAGTGTTCATCCAAACTAGAGCCAGCCCAAAGTCTTCAGACAAGAGGAGAGGCTTGGTGACTACTGACTGCTCTTGCTCCCCAGGGTGATGGCGGTTCTCGACCCTGGGCTCTGAGCAGCCTGGATGATGGAAGAGCCAGGGCCAAGCCCTCGTTGCCATCAGTTTCTAGGGCAAAGGGGTGCCCTGGGAGCGTTTGCACTCTGCCAAGCATTAGATAAATGGGAGCCTAAGCCAAATGGAGAAAGTTATCAAATTTAGCAGTCTGAATGTGGGTGAAACTTCCATCTTTAGTGGAAGCTCTTTAAATGATGTATAAATCACTATATCATGCTCTCCAGTGTTATTTCCTATTTAAAGTGAATTTGGACTCTAGAGTGTTTGCAGGTTTGAATCCTAGCTTCACCATTTACCAGTTGTGGGACCTTAGGCAAGTTACTTAAGCATTCTGAGCCTCAGTTTTCTCATCTGCAAAATGGGGATGATAATAACATTTTTTGTGAGGATTGAACAAGATACTAATTAGAATAGCACCTTGCATGTAGTAAGCATTAGTGTTAACAACAATTGGTGTTTTTATTTTGGGTTGTTATGTGACCAATACACAAATGGAAAAATTACAACGATTACAACATCAGCCTACACAAACATATGCTATTTTTCAATGATCATGAAAACCACACTGAGAGGAAACTCCTACCATGACCATTTTACAGATGAGAAAATGGAGGCTCAGAGGTTACATAATTTAACCAGGCCACTCTACAAGCAAAGCTAACGGCACTCAATTTTCTAGACTCCAGCACCTTTCCCACCATTGCCACACGTTTTCCAAGAATGAAGTAACCCTGAAATTTTAACACAAGCAAGAAAA